CACCTTTCAAAGAGAAGTCCACTAAGTTTTTCCCAAGTTTGATAAGGAGATTTGTATTTTCCCAAGTTTGATAAGGTGATTGTATCTCATATCAGCCCGTTGCCTCCCACCCCAAGTCCCTTACACACATCACGAGCCCCATCGGAAGTGCCTTACCTGCTAGTGATTTGTCTCGTGCCCCACCCCTCAGTCACCCAATGATTGTCCTCAGAGATCTTAAACTGCAGGTTAAATGCAGGAGAAAAACGGCAATAAAGGATCCTACATGTGATATGTTGGAAAGTGGTCTGAACTTAGAGCTCTGAGGGAGGACTGGCTGTCACCTACCAGCTTTGGGCTCATCGAAGTACAGCATTCTTTGGCGCAGCAGTTAAGCCACCTCTTGAGAGGCCTGCGTTCCATAACCCAGTTTAGTTTGATCCCTAGCTCCATTCCTGACTCCAGTTTTCCACCTGTGCAGACCCCGGGAGGCAGCAGGTGATGGCTCAAGTATTGCCTTCCAAGGGGAAGATTCAGATTTAGAGGTCAGCGCTGTAGTGCCACGGGTCAAGACCCTGGCCTGCAGTGCAGGGCATCCCATATGGGTGCCAGTTTGAGCCCCGGCTGCTCCAGTTCCAATCCAGCTCCCTGATGATGCACCTGGGAAATCAGTGGCAGATGACCCAAGTCCTTGGGCCCCTGCACCCACGTGGGAGCCCCAGGAGAAGCTCCTGGCTCTTGGCTTTGGACCAGCTCTGGCCATTGTGGCCATTTGAGGAGTAAACCAGCAGATGGAAGATCTCTGTCTCTCTCTCTCTCTCTCTCTCTCTCTCTCTCTGTAACTCTTTCAATTAAATAAAATAAATCTTTTTAAAAATTCAGATTTAGTTTCTGGCTCCTGATTTCAGCTTGACCCAGCCCCAGCTGTTGCAAGAATTTGGGGAGATAACCAGTAGGTGAAAGATCTCTCTCTCTCTCTCCCCCTTTCTCTCTATCTCTCTATCTCTCTCTACCTTTCAAATCAATAATAAACTAATAAATAAAATTTATAAAGAGTGGCACTCTTGGTGTTATACTATCAAATGCAGGCAGTATGTGTAGTGGTTAAGAGGTTGGGCCATAGAGTCACCCAGCCATGGGTGTGAACCTCAGCTCTGCCATTTGTCAGCTCTGTGACCTTGGAAAACTTACACAGTGGTTCTGTGCCTCCACATCTGCAGAAGGAGGGTCTCCTACATGGTATGGGTGTGAGGATCAAGCACAGCATTCCGAAACCACTCAGCAGAGTGCCTGGCCCACACAAGTGCCCATAAGAAGCACCCGTCATTGTTATTGAGGAGAAGGCCTGGTAGGGAAGCCATTGCCAAGGTGTTATGCTCTCGCATCCATTGTCCAAGGAGTGGCGCTGAAGATTTGAAACCTCAGAGTGGAGAAACAAGAGCATTCTCAAAGTGTCCTTTGAACTTGGTGTAGAAAAGGGCCTAGAGATGGACAGTGGTGGGAAAGGAGGGGCTCAGCCACTGGTGAGGGAGCAGGACTCTCCGTGGAGTTGTTTACACACAGTGCTGAGTGCAGCAGTTTTTGGATCAAAAGGTTCATATGGGGAGGCAGGAAGCGAAGAGGAATGGGTAGCAGGAAACAGGGTTGGGAAGGAGTACTGGGAAACTTGTGAAAGTCTGTCCAGAACAACATATCTGGATAATCCCAAGGCAATGGAGTACACGTGAACGCTTTGGAGAAGCAAGGAGAAATGATGAAATAACGATTATTCTGGTAGTGATGGCAAGACGGAGTGCATATCTTGAGTTTCCTTTTTTCCTATTTTATGTGTGAGCAAGACTAAACTTCAACGGAGCCCAAGGGATTTAACAATGATTTGTAAAAAAAAAATTAACTTTCCCAGTTTTTGTTCATAACTTAGTAAATCATTAAACACTACTATAACTAACATTTGTATAGCTCTTTACAATTAATGTAATATTGAGTGGTCCATTAATAGTGGTCATAAAAGAATAAAATCTTAGGATGTTCTTCCAATGAGGTGTTGTTTTAAAAGGTCGCACACACACACAGACACACACACACACATGAAACAAAACTTAGAGCCATAATTTCAGGGTAGTAGGTTGGATTGTTTTGGAATAGTGTTTAATCTAGAAGTTGTCCTTACTATATCAGGCAATAGTAACTTGGGAACTTCAAGAATTAGAATTACAGGACACTGCTGCTGCTGATTTAAACCCTGAACCTGGAGAAACTGTTGACAGATTAAAACGTCTGTAAAATAAATTAAAGATCCAGCATTCTGGAGAGGACGTTTTCAAATCTGACCAGGGCAGGACAGAAAAGAGAATTGCAAGGGAATATGTAACCACAATGACGAAAGAGAGGATCTGAACTGGGTGGTTTTCCACTGGGAAGAGATCAGAGTCAATACCAGACTGATTAGGCCATTTTCCCCTTGATCCACACAATAACCCCAGGAGCTCAGCACTGAGGTTTAATGTTCTCATTCTGCTTGGAAGACACTGAGTCCTAGGGAGGCCAAGTGGCTTCGCTAAGGCCATACAGGTAGCCCAAGGCTTGGTTGGGATTCACATTAGATCTTTGAACTCCAGATCGCAACTTTTCCCAAAGCAACACAGCTGCTTGTAAAAGGAGCATCCAGCTGGCACTTAAGACATGCGACCTGGGTTCTGAAAGCAAGCACTACTGTGGCAGAGCTATCAAATTCCATGACCTTCAGTTTTCCTATAAGTAAAAACACAGATAATAGATTGCTGTGAAGATTAGATAAAAGGAGAATAGAATTCAATATCACTTTAGTCGCATGTACTAGATCCTGGGCTTTCTGCAGATAATTTATTTATGCAAAAGGATTTGGTAGGCACTCTCGATGTGCCAGGTATTGTGCAAAGTGCTGAAGACACAAAGATAACTGTGTCTCATTCATCTTTGGATTTTTAGTGCTGAGCACAATGGCAGGCAATTGTAGGGATCCAATAAATTTGATATGAATAGAATGGATAAAAGCAGCTGGATGAATGAACAAATTATACATACATGAGATAAAGGAAATTTTAAATCTCGTATCTCAGAATTCATTCATTCAACAAACATTGAGTTCCTCTACTGGCATTATTATGGCTGCCATGCTTCCACAAAATACATTTTCTGTCTCAAAAAACAACAGAGGTTGGAACATGGGATTTGGAATCAGTAGAGTCGCATCTTTAATATTGCTCCTACTACTTTCTAGCTTATTAATTTTGAACAAATTTCTGAGCCTGAGTTTTCCCCATCTGGATTAGTCTGTTTTCACTACTAGAATGAAGTACCTGAGGCTGGGTGACTTTATGAAGGAAAGAGGTTTGTCTAACTCACAGTGCTGACAATTCAAGGGCATGTGCTGGCATCAGCTCTGCTCTGGTGAGGCCCTCATGGCGAATGGCAGCATGTATGGGAGGAAGGCAGGAGGAGATCACCCAGAAGCCACTGAGGCTGGGATATGGCCAGCCTTGTTCTGTAATAACCTTCTCCTGAAGGCAACCAAGAGATGCTGCAAGAACTAAGCTAATCCCTTCTGAGGGCAAGATCCCAGTGACCCAAGGATCTCCCTCCAGGTGCCACCTAAGGTCCCACCACTCAGCACTGCCGCACTTAGGACCAAGCTTCCAGCACATACACCCTTGGGGGACAAACCACACCCACACCACAGCACTGCTCTAAAGTGAGGCCAATACTGGCTTTTGCTTCTTGTTGAAAGGATCCAGATTCACAAAAATGCTTTGAAAAATCACTGTATGAGGCTCTCAGTATTATATAAATATTCCATAAAACTTTTTGCTACTATTGAAATAAAATCAAGGTCTACTTGAGGTACCTGAAGAATTGCTTTAATTCCCTATTTTGCTTCGGCAGTGGGGACTTGGCTGAAGGTCAGCAGAGGGGCAGAATGTGGGTGTCATCATCATTTGTTGCTTTCTTCTTCCCTGGGATCCACTCAAGACGATCACAGAAGTAATTGCTCCAAATGGCTTATCAGTAAAACTAGATATATTCACTCATCAAAGACAGGGACCAGTGATGCCTGAGTCCTTTGTGTCTAATGGTAACTGGTAGATCATCAGTTTGTTGCTGATTTATTTTAAAGATTTATTTATTTGAAAGTCAGAGTTAAAGAGAAAAAGTTTTATATATATATATATATATATGGAGAGAAAGAGAGATTTCATCTGCTGATATTTTTTTTGACAGGCAGAGCTAGACAGTGAGAGAGAGAGACAGAGAGAAAGGTCTTCCTTCTGTTGGTTCACCCCCCAAATGGCCGCTACAGCTGGCATGCTGCGCCTTTCTGAAGCCAGGAACCAGGTGCTTCCTCCTGGTTTCCCATGTGGGTGCAGGGTACAAGGACTTGGGCCATCCTCCACTGCCTCCCTGGGCCACAGCAGAGAGCTGGACTGGAAGAGGAGCAACCAGGACAGAATCTAGTGCCCCAACCGGGACTAGAACCCGGGGTGCCGGCGCCGCAGGCAGAGGATTAGCCTATTGAGCTGCAGCGCCGGCCTCATCTGCTGATTTGTTCCCCAGATAGCTCCAACAGCCAGGGCTGAGTCAGGCTGATGTCAGGAGGCAGGAACTTCTTCCGGATCTCCCACATAGGTGGCAGTGGTCCAAACACTTTGACCATCTTCTAGTGCTTTTCCTGGGCCATTAGCAGGGAGCTGTATCAGAAGTGAGCAGCTGGGACATGAACTTCCGCCCATATGAGATGCTGGCGCTGCAGGTGGCTTTACTTGCTATGCCACAACGCTGGTCCCTGGTTCTGATTTTAAATAATACTGGGCTGCAAGATTTGTGTGCTTTTTTTTGCCTGTCTGATTCCAGGTTGAGCTGGGAAAAGTCAATTAATGTTTATCAGTCATCCTTTATGTACTAGATGAAGGAATACTAAATTAGGGAAATTTAGATTTATGCATATGAACATATGCATAAATTTTGAATATGCATATTTACTTATTTTTATGAGACTTGGCTCACACGATGATGGAGGCTGAGAAGTCTCACAACCTGCCACCTGCAAGCTAGAGAGTGGGGTGTCTGTAATTCAGTCCACGGCCCAAAGTCAGAACCAGGGAACCAATGGTGCAGGCAGGGTCTGAGCCTGAAGGCCTGAGAGGCAGGAGGACTGACATCTGCAGTAAGGAGGAGACGCAGGCCCCTGCTTAAAAACAGAGAGACTCCTCCCTTCCACTGCCTTTCTCTTTTATTCACGCCTCCCTACCCCCACCCCTGGATTGGACACAGTTCATCTACATTGGGGTAGCCCATGTACTGACTCCATTAGTCCATATGCTAATCTCTTCCAGAAACTTCTTCACCAACACATTCAGAAATTATGTTTTGCCAGCCCTCCAGACATCCCTTTGCCCAGTTAAGTTAGCAGTCAGACATGAATAGAAATAATGACAGTACAACCTGAACCCTTTACAGCAGAAGTGTGAACTAATCATCATAGCAGGGAACAACATTGTGGTACAGTGGGTAAGACCGCTGCCTTCAGTACTGGCATCCTATATAGGCACCTGTTCAAGTCCTGGCTGCTCCACTTCTGATCCAGGTCCCTGTGAATGTGCCTGGGAAAGCAGTAGAAAATGGCTCAAGTCCTTGGGCCTCTGTAACCACCCGGGAGACCTGGAAGAAGTTCCTGGCTTCAAACAGGTCCAGCTCTGGCCATTGTAGCCCTGTGGGGGGCAAACCAGCAGATGGAAGAGCTCTCTCCCTCTCTCTGTAAAACTCTGCCTTTCAAACAAATAAATAAATCATTTTAAAAAATCATCATAGCAAAAAGAGGAGTGACTGATTAGCTTTGCCATGAAAAGCAGAGGAGGTTTTATAAAGGAGGTGACACATGCAAGGGCCTTAACATGAGATCAGGAATTTGCCTGACAGTGGAGGGAGATGGGTACAGAGAAAAACCACACATACAATGACAAAGTGAAAAGAGACAGTGGAAGCATAAGACAGGCTCGGTGAGTGGAGATGATTTTAGCATGACTGAAGTGTGCATTGTATGACATGAACTGGCTCAAGAGAAAGCTGGAAGGGAAAGTTCAGACCAAATGCTGGGGTCTGGAGAGCCACACTGAGGGGCTCCAGCTTCCTGGCCACGCACCCCCAGCACATATACCATCTCTGGAACCCAGGGGATCTTCACTCGTTGGATGAGCAAACGAGGTTAGATACAGTGACTGGAGTGTCTTCCCACTGACCCAACTCTCCCAGCTCTCCAGCCCTTCAGGCTTGGAAAGAAGGAAAAATATATGGGGGGAAAAATAAGTGTCATTGAGAGAGAAAAAAAAAAAAAAAGAGAAAAGCAAAGTGAGGAAAGAAGGGGTAGGTGACGATGCAGAGCAAAGCCACCGAGAACTAGTGATCCAGGATGGGTCGGTGATACCGAGCGGGAAACCTCCCCTGGCATTGAGCTGAAACCTTTGGCAAATCAAGCGACTACCTGAGCTTCAGGGTCCACCTTGGCAAATGGGAGCGATGGTAACCTTTGCTAGCTCTAACACTGCATGAAGGCCCATCCCCGAGTCCCATGAAAACTCTGTCGAGGTGGTAAATATTACATACATACAGGGCAAACCTGGAGCCACTCAAGTTGAAGACACGGATTTCTGGGGTGGAGGGGCTGGGCTGGGCTGGGGAATTACCCACGGAGTGGAGACACGGAGCCTGACAGCCCGGGATGACTGATTCCAGTTTCCAAGTGCAGCAGGAGCCTTGTTCACACTGGCAAATGATTGCCATTTCCCTTGTCAGGCAGTGACAGGAGTTAGTTGACCTGAAAATTCACTAATAGTTCCATTAGAGAGGCCTTGGAAGTAGCCATCTTTTTACTCATCCTGGTCAATTAACAATGAATTAATGCCAAACATAGTTTCCATTGAGCGGAATGCTGATTTCCCCTCATTTTGCTAAAAATAACCCTTAAAGAGGGACAGCTAACCAGGAAATACCCTGCTTGTCTTCCCACGGCTGCTCTGAAGCGCTCCCGAGCCGCTGTCAGCTCCCGCATTGAGGAGGTGGCAGTGGTGAACCCTGGCTTTCAGATGGGAGACGCATCCTAGTACCAGCGTCTGCACACACCCACTGCGTGCTGTAGGACAAATGACTGAAGCTTTCTGAAGCTCGCAATTTTGCACAGAAATGGAAAAGGCTGAGATGAAGGTGCAAGTCCCATTCAGGGGTTGTGTTGGGAGACCACGGGAAGGTGGTTTCAAGCCTGCTGGGAGAAGGGTAGACTGGACCCGGGGCTGGGGAGAAGTACTGGGTTTCCTCTACGTTCTCTGACCCAGGAGGTAGGACACGGGGTCAAGCCCGGCCCTTGTTCCAGGTTAGTGGTTCCCAACCAGGGGAGGAGGGTGAAGGCTCTCCAGGGGGTGGTGTGGGGCCTTTGGCAATGCTTGGAGATACTCCGGGTTGTCACCACCGAGCGGTGCCATAGGCTTCTAGTGCATAGAGGCCAGAGACACTGCCCCAACACCCTATCGTGCACAGGACAGCCTCCGTAACAGAGAATCACCCGCCTTAAATGTCAACAGTGCCAAAGCTGAGAAAATCTGCTCTAGTCTATTGTTGGTTTTGGCCACGTGATAGCTTTTGTTGTCGTTCTCAGTGACCTTGTTTGTAGGATAGGGATAATAATAAAACCTGCCTCTTTGAACCTCACAGAGTCGACAGCCTAATCAGGTAACAGATCAAAAGTGCCTTGAAATGTGAAGTGCTTTACAAGGGAAGAAAAAGAAAGTTGCGTTCATTATCCACCTGCTCATTCTGCTTCCTGAGCCACTTCACTGGGGTCTCATTCCCCTCTGGGACAGTGGGGCCTAATGTGCCTCTTCCGCTGTGGCAAGGACTTCAATGTTTGGATTATCCAAGTTATGAATCTTCACCCCCAAATCAAAGAGGCAAGCAATGTCCTTTATGGTTGTGTTGCGTGTGTTTCTATTGCAAGCCTCTATCTGGCAGGAGTCAGACGGTTATTCTTGGACAGTGCAGGATTTTCTTTCAACTTTCCTTGAGGTTGCGTTCTTGTTCCAAGGGCTTAGATGGGACTGAGGCCCTGGGGTACGGTCGGCTCCTCAGGAGCCAAGTATGTGTTCTAGCATTCCCTGAAATGTCATTGCTCGTAGGGTCATTTATCCATCCAGGGCACTGCAGTGTCCTTGCTAGGACCACTGCATCTCACAAGCACAGAGAGAACATTCTGCTGCTTCCCGTCGCTCTACTGCAGTACAGCCTATGCAGCCGTCTTCCAACTGTCTACCCAGACACCCCTTCGGCCATGGCTACTCTACTCCTCCAAGCCAGCTGAGTCTGACGATAACACAGATTATCTCTGCTCTTGAACCCACTCAAACCTATTTGGGGCTTCCTTCCTCTCTCTCTCCCTCCCTTCCTCCTTCCCTCCCTCCCACCAGACTTCCTGTTGAGAGAGGGTGGCAGGAAGAGGCTCCTTCCCTAGGACATGCAACCCTGTTGAATGCTCCTGCTTCTCCCTTGAATGTCTCTCCTCCCCTGGCCCACACAGTTTTTTCCACTTAGCTGTATTCTAATTCCCTTTATCGCATTCTCCCTACCACCACCCACCAAAGATTTTGCTACCTCAAAGATGAAACTTTTGAAATTCAAAAAAGTTTTTGCTCCCAAGAATATGTACAAATGGCCAATAAGCACATGAAAAGATGCTCAATATCAATAGTTACTAAGAAAATGTGGATCAAAACCACCATGAGATCTCTCTCCACATCCATTAGCCTGGGTATTAGCAAAACAACAAGAGACAGAAACTATGAAGTGCTGATCATGGTGTGGTGGAATTGGAACATTTGTGCATTGCTGGTGGTAATGTAAAGTGGTGCAGCCTCAGGGGAAAATGGTATCATGATTCCTCAAAGAAATTAAAAACAGAATTACTGTATGGTCCAGCAATTCCAATTCTGGGCACATAGGCAAAAGAAGCGAGAGCAGGGATTTGGACAGATATATATGTATCCCCATGTTTGTAGCAGCATTATTCACGGTAGCCAAAAAAAAAAAAAAATAGAAGCAATGCAAATGTCTATTGATGAACGAGTAGACAAACAAAATGTGGAGCATACATGCAATGGATTTACACAGGCTTACAATGGAAGGACATTCTGACACAGGCCACAACATGGATGAACCTTTGAAACATCACGTCAAGTGAAATTAGCCAAACAGAAGGATAAACATGGTCTGACTGCATTTCTGTGTGGTACCTAGAGTGGTCAAACATCGAGAAACGGAAAATAGAGTGGGGGTTTCCCGGGGACTGGGATGCTGGGGAGAGGACTGGAGAATTCATCTTTAATGTTGACAGGGCTTCAGTCTGGAAAGATGACACAGTCCTGGAGAGAGATGGTGGTGCGGTTGCACACTAACATGAACGCACTTCCTGCACAGAAATGTGCACTTACCAACGGGTAAAATGGTCTGCTTATGGATATTTTACCATAGTTAAAATTTAAAAAAAAAAAACAACCTTGAATCCCAGATTTCCTGAGAGTTTTAAAACTTTATTTATTTATTTTTATTTGAAAGGCAGAGAGACTGAGAGATGGCGAGAGAGCTCTCATTTGCTGATTCATTCCCTAAAGGTCCGCAACAATCAGAGTTGACTTAGGTCAAAGTCAGGAGCTAGGAACTCAGCCTGGGTCTCCCACAAGGGTGACTGGAACCGACCACTTCAGTCCTCATCTGCTGCCTACCGGGGGGCACATGAGCAGGTAGTGGGGTTGGCAGTAGAGCCGAGACTGGAATCCTGGCATTCTGGCAACAGTGGAAGTGTCCAAGCAGCATCTTAACTACTGCACCAAATGCCTGCCCCTTACCATAATTTTTTAAAAGATTTATTTATTTATTTGAAAGAGTTACACACAGAGAGAAAGAGAGGCAGAGAGAAGTCTTCCATCTGCTGATTCACTTCTCAATTGGCTGCAATGGCTGGAGCTGAGCTGATCTGATCTGAAGCCAGGAGCCAGGAGCCTCTTCTAGGTCTCCCACACGGGTGCATGGTCCCAAGTGCTTGGGCCATCTTCTATTGCTTTCCCAGGCCGTAGCAGAGGGCTAGATCAGAAGTAGAGCAGCCGGGATACAAGCCAGAGCCCATATAGGATGCCAGCACTGCAGGTGGTGGCTTTACCTGCTATGCCACAGCGCCAGCACCACCATAGTTGTTTTTTTTTTTTAATATTTTTGTTTTCTTCTGCAGCCAATCTTAATTCATTATCTAGTTGAACGAAAAATGAGTATCACAGGAAATAACAGACTTGTTTAAACAACATAATGCAGTTAATATATGAAAAAAATCAGTTAGCACATGGAAATATTATTCCATCCCAGATCTACCAAATGCTTTATTTTTTTATTCAAACAATCATGTAGGGGCCAGCGCTGTGGCGCAGTAGGTTAATCCTCCACCTGTGGCGCCAGCATCCCATGTGGGCACTGGTTCTAGTCCCAGCTGCTCCTCTTCCAATCCAGCTCTCTGCTGTGGCCTGGGAAAGCAGTAGGAGATGGTCCAAGTACTTGGGCCCCTGCACTCACGTGGGAGAACAGGAAGAAGCTCCTGGCTCCTGGCTTCGGATTGGCGCAGCTCCGACCGTTGCGGCCATTGGGGAGTGAACCAAGAGACGGAAGACCTTTCTCTCTGTTTATCCCTCTCACTGTCTGTAACTCTACCTCTCAAATAAATAAATAAAATCTTAAAAAAATCATTTAGAATCTGAATGTCAAAGAGGAAGAGGCACTGTCCCATGCAGAGACAACCAGGATCAACTCACTGCACCCTGAGCTCTAACTTTGCAGCAGAAATTTGGATTCTTAGCCAAATTCTCTCTGTCTCTCTTCCTCTCTCTCTTTCTGTGTTTGTGTGTGTGTGTGTGTCCTTCTCTGTCTACCCCACCTCCTTCTTACTCTTTTTTTAAGAATTGCCTAATTAGGAGCAACCAGCAGTGGTCACCATTTTTCCAGCTTTTGAGTACATCATTAGTGTAGCAATATAGGTGGGTTCCAGATAGTTTAACAAATGGTGTTGGGACAATTGATTTTAAGAAATGAGTTTGATCCATTGCACATCTTGTAGTAACATAAATTCCAGACAGGTCAAAGACTGTTTTTAATGAATCACAGAAGCTGCAGAAGAAACATGAGAGACTTTGTATTATATAATTTTGCAATGAGTAGGACTCTTTAAGTAAGCCAGCTGTGTAAACAACAACAAAGAATTGATTAGTAATACAATTGCCTTGGCATACACTATGTCTCAAAGAACGTGTAAAATCCTGGTTGCTTCTGGGACTCAGGGGTAGAAGAAAGTTCTAGTGTTCATTGACTACTTTTGGCACCTTGTGCATCTTTCCCCTGTGTTTTCTATTATGCAGTAGTAGCAACATCAAGTCCCCGTGGGTGCTCCTCTGGGCCCCACATCTGCCAGCAGCCACCTTAGCCTTTGCTTCTTTCCAAAGGGCATGGGGACATCCCTTTCTTTCTTGCAAGGCTGGTTTCTGTGTGTTTTCAACAAGAAGAGGCCAGCACGAGGCAGGAGCAGTGTCCAGCAGGGCGGCTCCAAGCCCTCGTGTGACCGCATGCTGGAGGAGCGGGACCTGCGGTGGAGGGCCATCTAGCTGCGGTGCTTTCCGCCACTCAGGCCTCCTCTCTGGACTCTTAGGGTTTATTTATTTATGTATTTGAGAGAGAGAGAGAGAGAGAGGGAGAGAATGAGAGAGCGAGAGAGGGGGGAGGGAGAGAGAGAGAGATCTTCCAATCATTGGTTTATCCCCCCAATGACTGCAACAGCCAGGGCTGGGCCAAGCCAGAGCCAGGTGTCAGAAACTCCATCTGGGTGTCCGAATACTTGGTCCATCATCTGCTGCCTTCCCAGACACAGTAGATGGAAACTGGATGAGAAATGGAGCAGCTGGGACTCGATCCAGTACTTCCATATGGGATGCTAGCATTGCAAGTGACAGCTTAATTTGCTATGCTACAAGGCCAGCCCCACTAGCCTCCCTTTTTTTTTTTTTTTTCATTTGTAGAAGTAGTTTAGATTACACAGCATTCAAGGCGCTGAGACAGTTCTAGAGCACTAACTTACCTGTTCCTAGCAAAAGCAGGAACGGAGAGTGATTAAAGGGACAGACAGTGAACCCCAGAGTATCTGGGTTCAAATCCCAGCCCTGCTGCTCCGTAGCTTTGTCCTTAGGTGAATCTTTAAGCTTTTTATGCTTCAGTTTTCTCATCTGTAAAGTGGACATGATAATATAATCTGTCTTGTAAGCACATTGGGAGGATTAAATGAGTTACTATATTAAAAACACTAAGAAAGCACCATGTGTGAGGGTACTTCAAAAAGTTCATGGAAAATGGAATTAAAAGATAAGTATATTTTGATGCAAATAAATAAATGAATGAATCTAGAGGCTGGTGTGTGGCAGTGAGTTAAGCTACCACTTGGGACACTCGCATCCCATATCGGGGTACTGATTTGAATCCCAGCTACTCTGCTTCCCATCCAGCTCCCTGCTAATGCACCTGGGAAGCAGAGGATGATGGTCCAAGTACTTGAGCTCCTAATATCCATGTGGGAGACTCCGATGGAGTTCCTGGCTCCTGGCTTCAGCCTGGCCCAGGCCTGGCTGTTGTGGGCATTTGGGAAGTAAACCAGTGGTTAGGAGATCTCTCTCTCTCTCTCTCTCTCTCTCTCTCTTTTCTTTTTCTCTCTGTCACTCTGCCTTCCAAATAAAAGCAAATTTTTAAAAAAATTAAAATTCATGCATTGTTTATTTAAAATATTCACATTCTATTAACTTTTTAAGGATCCCTTGTGTTAAGCTGCTTATTAATTTTTCTACTGGTTTATTATTAGTCATAGATCATGGGAGGTCTAGCTTGAGTAAGCCAGAATCACTTGTTTGTGACACACCTCACCCTGGGTTCCACCTCCAGATGAGGCAAGCACAGAAAGGGAGGCTCAGATCTCAGGACACCCCCACCTCAACCGGCTTTGATCACGCAAGGCATTATTAAAACTCTAGTCCTTCAGGCCTGTGGAGGAAACATGCGCCTGGTCTTCACTCTTGAGCTGCTGACATTGCAGCTGAGAAGAGTTTCTGATAGACGAGGCCACTGGAAAAAAAGAAAAAGAAGGGTAGGAAATGTCATTTATGGAGATTCGCTGTGTGTTGAATCATTTGCAAAAATATCCTCATTTAACCAAGGTGTATATTAACGAATCCATTGATCCCCGACTGCATCAGGCAGCCTGCAAGTGCAGAAGGAGCTTTGAGAGGAAGCACCAGGAGGCAGTGATCAGAGTATTTGCCCCCATTGCCACTGAAGCCAAGGGGGCTCCTCGTTAACTGTACACATTCGTAGGCCCAGCCCAGACTCACAGGCTCTGGATCTCCAAGAGGGAGAGCCTTGGGAAGCTACGTTTTTTTTTTTTTTTTCAATTTGACAGGTAGAGTTAGAGAGAGAGAGAGACAGAGAGAAAGGTCTTCCATTGGTTCACTCCCCAAATGGCCGCCATGGCTGGCACTGCACCGATCCGAAGCCAGGAGCCAGGTGCTTCCTCCCGGTCTCCCATGCGGGTGCAGGGGCCCAAGCACTTGGGCCATCCTCCGCTGCCCTCCCGGGCCACAGCAGAGAGCTGGACTGGAAGAGGAGCAGCCAGGACTAGAACCCGGCGCCCACACGGGATGCCGGCGCCAAGAAGGCGGAGGATCAACCAAGTGAGCCACGGCGCCGGCCCCCAGGAAGCTACATTTTTAACATGGCTTCAGGCAACGCTTCTCACCCGGGTCATTTGAGAAATGCTGGACTGGAGAACATCTGGAAGGGGCGAGAGGAGGCAGCTCTGTTCCCCAGATCTGAGTGTTTTGTTTGCTGGTCACAAGGCGGAGTGAGGAGGAGCCAGCAGCAGGCTCTGTGCTCGGTTCTCTAGTTGCCCACTCGGGGGGACAGGGACCCTCGGCCTAGGAGGCTTACACTCCCAGGGGCTTTTCTCCTCTGAAAACGACCAGAGAGGACTGGTGTGTACTTCCTGATCCACTGGTTCCAAACCTGAGTACAACAACTACCTGGTTTTTAGAAAAAATCTCTTTGAGTTCTGTTCTCACGCACTGTGACGTCAGCAGAACCCGAAGACTGAATTATAGCTTTGCATTCAGTCAGGAATCATGTATTATTCTCCATGTTATCCGTCACTGCTTCCCCGATGCTCAGAAGACAGAGTGACAGCAATACACACAATGGGCGAGCACCTGAGGTGCTTTAAACCTATCAATAATAAGCATTGTTCCCAGAAAGATTTTGCTCAGTGGAAAAAGCAGAATGGAACGGCCTTTCCAATGGCTGGCAGAGGCTTTGAAATTGTTTCCCATTAAATGTGCAAATTCTGAGGTCCACAGATTTCCACCACCGCCTCGTTTATGTCCTAGACATTTGGTTTGGACTGAATCAAAAAAATATATCTGTTCATACTAAATACAAAATGATTATTGGATGTCCTGCTTCTCACATTTAACTGCATAACAAACACTAAAATTCAATCTATGTAAAATTAATGAGTTGGTGGTGAGTCTCGTGTATGTGTTTAATCAGAAAATTACATTTACAGTACTTGAAAGCATATTAATTGAAGTTTATCAAGAAGGCAGTAGGTATTTAGACACAAACACAAATGTGAAATATATCAATACTCACGCTGTAATTATCTATTGCAGTTGCCTTGCCTTGCAATTCTAATGTCCTTAAATAAAAATGAAACATAACACATACATTGGTCCTTTTAGGCATTAGCAATGTTTGATATAGATATTTTAGCTGTCCTTTTAAACTTGATTGAGTTACACAGTTAGAGTATATGTGCTTGCTGTTTTATTGATGAGTGGGACTACTAGTAATTGGCACATAATAATTCCCCTGATATTATTAGCTGCACATTTCTGAGGTTGAAATGAATGTAAAACATTCACTCAGCTTGATTCTTTGCGTAATTAGAGAAAACAAGATCTTGACACAATGGCCTCCATACACTCTATCATAATAGTGGAACACGCTTACAAATCAAATCTAGCAATCACCAGCTTTGCCCTTACACTGGTTCCTCCGATTTTATTCCCCAGGGAAACGCGAGCGTCTTGAATGGTGCTTGTGGCATCCTACTGCATCACTAAGTCAATGAACCTACTAACTCACTGGATGGGCACACGTTGGCCTGGTTTTTTCAAATATGGGGATTGAGATTCTTTTATTGTATTACCGTAGCTATGTCTCTGCTATTTCTCTCTCTAATGATCTAGGTATCTTGCTTCCTTTCCTGTTTAAGAATTTCTGGGCCGGAGCCGCGGCTCACTAGGCTAATCCTCCGCCTAGTGGCGCCAGCACACTGGGTTCTAGTCCCAGTTGGGGCGCCGGATTCTGTCCCGGTTGCCCCTCTTCCAGGCCAGCTCTCTGCTGTGGCCAGGGAGTGCAGTGGAGGATGGCCCAGGTGCTTGGGCCCTGCACCCCATGGGAGACCAGGAAAAGCACCTGGCTCCTGGCTCCTGCCATCGGATCAGCGCGGTGCGCCGGCCGCGGCAGCCATTGGAGGGTGAACCAACGGCAAAGGAAGACCTTTCTCTCTGTCTCTCTCTCTCACTGTCCACTCTGCCTGTTAAAAAAAAAAAAAAAAGGCCTTGAAATACAGCAATGAAAAACCTGATAATCTGCAAATAGCTGATTGTTTATCTCTGTGGATGTCTCAACACCCAGAAGTTTAATTGCGCTTTTATGCCTCCACTGGGATTTGGGAGGGGCTTGGGCAAGGCCATAGTCCCTTCAGCACCTCCAAGATCAGCGGCTTCACGGAGGCCAGCACTTCCTGCGATGCTGCACAAGCTAAGGGTGGGGTATTATTTCAATCACCCTCGATTCTCCCATAGCCTGGGGCATGGCCGGCTGTCCTGTGTGCAGACTTTGTCAGTAACTCTGCCAAGCTCTTAACTGCCGTCATGCTATTAATCCTCATAACCACAGTTTTTCTTTGTCAACCAGTGAGGAAACTGAGGCACGGGGCAATTACATGACTTTCTCCTGGTTCAGATTTAGAAGACAATCAAGAGAAAGAGGAAACTTGGCTGTGGGCCAGAAATGACAGAGTTGGGATCTGAACATAGGCCCATAGGCTTCCTCACACACTCAACTTTTCTGTCCTACATTGCCTAAGCGTATTTGTGCTATAGATCTTCCTATAGCCTACACATTTTCTAAAAATCATGGGATTGGCCATCTAACCCATGCTATCCTACTTTTCAAGTCCTTGTTTATGGGAGAACCAGGATATTTTATTATTTCAGATACCTGGGCAATGAAACAGCAGGCTTTTCCCTTGGCATCCAAGTCCTCACCCCTTTTGTAAATATGTTCTCACATATATTTTCCTGACTACATTTTGATTTTTTTGCCCAAGATTTCCCACAAGAAATACAAGTCTTTGCCTAGCAATATGACACAGCAGTTCTGAGCATAAGCTCTCGCGGCAGGTGACTGGGGTCACAAAGACGCTCTCCCATTTTTAGTTCAATCTTGAGTAAGTTGCTTAAGTTCTTTGAGTCTCAGTATCTTCAACGGTAAAAGGGAGATGCTGATGACAGTAGCTATTTGTGCATCGAATGAGAATGCACAGACAGTGCCAGGCACCTATGCGCAGGCATGAGCTAGTGCTGTGTGTAGAATGCAGGTCTATGCTAAGAAGGCTCACTTCCTGTGCGGCCCCATTCTCGCCTTTTGTCTTTAATAGTAACTGGAAAGTAACTAAGATCCTTAGATCCAGAGGCAGAACAAAGGCATCTCCTAGGTTTTGGGCAAACAGTAGAGTAACAATGTCTTAGAAGGGACAGACCCTTTCGGTTCTATCTTCGCCCTATGGTAGTGACTTGGGGCACAGCACTCTCTCCATTTGGCACTCAATATCTCCTTCTCTCAAAAAAAGGGGAGCGCCACCCGCCTCCCAAATGCCTACCAGTGTGAACATGCTGTGAAGTGCCCAGGCAATCCCTCCGCAAAGCTTGCTATTTCCTGTCCCACCTGACCGCCATCACCCAGCCCTGGATGCCAGGAACCCAGGCCATTCCTGAAGTTTGCACTTGAATGCCCAGAGCAGCTGCTAACACCCCCAGCCGAGCCCCACACCTCCTTAATCTAAAATCCTCATTAGTTCCAACTGCGGGCCATCTATTACCTTATGCCCATAATGGGAGTTAATTTCTGTTGGGATCAGATGGTCTTCCCCCTGGAAATTTTTATTCATATTTCTTTCCTGTTTTGTGATTCTCAATCGGAGTTTTCTAATAACAGATCATTTCTTTTTGTCTAACTTTAATCTGGGCCTGCTTGACAAGCCCCATCCTTTTCATTGAAGGGTAAGACCACTTAAAGGAAGGCCAATAAGCCCTTGCGCTGTGCGGCGGGCCGGGGTGATTTGTCACCCGGTGCAGTGGTGGTCACACCAATGGATTTATCTCAAGGTAAATGGAGATGCTGAGACCCGGGACCTGGAGCTTTGATTAAGGCGCCCTTTTTGTAGTGTTGATAGATGTTGCTTGTGTTTATCTATTTGAAATGCCACTAAATCTGTGAATACAATGGAAAAAGAGAGTACTTTGCTGCTGCAAACATATTAGTGATTTATGTTTCAGTAAGAAGCACAATAAAGAGACAGAGGCTATTAAGAGCAGCTATTTTCATGAGAAATAGTTCTGCTTTAAAACATTATTAACCCCACCTTGATAAAGACCTACATGCATGCATAATCGTGTTTACTTACCCCTTTAGTTTGGTGCAGTATGCATTTGAAGCACACATGCTCCAAATATTAATAAGTTAGTCACAGAATACTCACAGCAAAAGGTACCTGCCCAGGACCGCCGGCATGTAAATTTCCTGCTCTCCAGGAAGGGACACATAATAAACTTATCTAGGAAGCTTTGGAGTTTATGTGGACTTCATATTGCTCAAAGCACTCTCAAACCCTTCTCACCATCATTTGCTGTATCTCCCTCAGCACCCCCGCCCCCTTTGCCTTGTAGTAGAAATAACCAGTAGGGTGACACATAAAGATTATAATGCATGGATATAACTTATAA